AAGGAAGGACGGCCGCTGTTTCCTCCCCCCCCCCGGCCCAAGAGCGGGGCTTGGAGGTGCCCCTGCCCCTTGGAAACACCTGCACCTGGAGGAGCAGAGGAGCGAAGGAGCCTTCCCTGGCCGAGGAGGAGGAGGAGGAGGAGGCCAAGCGGGGAGGGGGGCTCCCCCCCGCCGAGCCAGGGAGCTGCCCTCCCTCAAAGCAAGAGGGGTCCCCTCACTCAGACCAGTGCCCAGACAAAGCAGGGTTTGCTCCTTTTGAAGAAGGAGAAGAAGGAGAGGCGTCCTCCCCACCGGGCATCTTTGATATTCCTGAAAAGCTTTTTGGACACATTGAAGCAAAGCCAGAGGGTGGGGAAAGGGTGGATAAAGAGGAACAATGGATTTGGGAAGGGCTGGCGGGATCTCAAGAAGACACTGGGGTTGTTGTTGTTTTTTACTAAGCACTCAGGGCAAAATTTGACTGCAATACATTCACTCAAGGGCGGGTAGCGCTTGCCCTTTTCTTGCATAAAGAAACGCCATTTTAAAAAACAAAACAGGGTCAAGCAGAACCGAACTCCACTCCCCCCCCCGTAGAAAAAACGGGCTAGGGTGCGCGCGCCCCCCACCGACGCTCAGAGGTGAACCCACCAGGGAAGGTTAGGAAATTAAAGGACACCCCCACTTCCGGGGGAGGGGTGCGTTCTCCTTGGCCCTTTTCATGAGGGTTCACCCCTAGGCTTCTTGGCAGACATGACCGCTTGTCTCCCAAGATGCCCCCCCCAACCTTGGTCAAGATCCTTGAGCAAACGAGAGCCCCTCCCTCCCCTCCTTCCAGGCGTTGCCCCTTCCACAGTCAAAGGCTCCTCAGTCCCAGACCGTTCTTCCTGGTGTTGAGTCAGGGTCTCTTTCCTTCTAAACCGAATCCATTGCTTGGGGTCCTGCCCTCTAGATCGCACCTCCCACCAGGAGATCTTCCCAGTGTGTGAAGCCGGCTACCGGACCGCCTCTCCAGCATCTCTTCCCTGAGCTAGCCCCGTACAGAATTCCTCCGCTGCTCCTTGCAAGGCTTGGCTTCCAGACCCCTTTGCCCTCCTGGCTGGCCTCCTTTCTACACGTTGTTGGCTTGCTAAGATACTGTGTAGGCCAACCTTGGCCAGCAAGAAGCTTTTCCCTCCCCGAACCTTAAGAAACGAGCAGGAGAACTGACAGGAGATTCAGACACCCCAGCTGGAGCCCTGGGAGGGGGAGGCATCTTTAGGGTACACCAGCATCAACGTCCTGAAACGTAATGGGCAACAGTCCGTGTCAGCTGTTATTGCTATGGATCTCCACTTCGGCTGAAGCTAGCATCAACGTCCTGAAACGTAATGGGCAACGGTCCGTGTCAGCTGTTATTGCATCGCTATGGATTTGGACGACGGAAATCAAAATCCTAGCTCTTGCCTCGCCTTCTGAGAGGGCCAGAAAAGATTTCAGCCTCTCCAAATGCTGATCATTGGGCAAAAACTATCCCTCGGGACCTGCTCTTCTCAGTCATCAAGCTGTCAAGTAGGGAGAAACACACTGGGCTCGGTAGGCATCACCGCGCCGTGCAGGGACCCTGGAGACCAGGCAACATGCACGCAAACGGGAAAAATACCAACAGGCCCTCCGCTCAAGATCGCTGCTTTTCTTTTCCAGACATGAGGGAAGAACGGAGGAATTTAGAGGAGGAAGCAAACTGTGTGGAAACGACCGAATGACAAGAAGGATCCGCTCCTTTATCAAAAGAAGAATGCTTTGCCATGGGGTGAAAATAGCTAAAATGGACCTGTGGGATTTCAGCGGAAGAGCAAAGCCAGTCAAAGGAGTTGTAAGAAGAAGGAACCCTGCCAGGGATTTGGAACAACTGATGCTCTCTCTGCAGCTTTAGGGCTGTGCTTCCTACTAATTTTCCAAATTACCATTTAACGGAGATTATAGTCCTCCCTGCAATTTGAAGTGGGAGAGAAAACAAGGGCAAGTTGATGAAGAAAGGCAGGGGAGGGGGTTTTGGTTGGCACCTCCAGGTGTGTTTTAGGAAAGAAAAGCAATTCTGGCTCTTTTGTGATGAAAATTAAGCTCCACATGGAGCTCTATATTTGCAATAGAGCGAATATAAATAAATGAGGACAGGCCAGTTGAGCAGGTAGGGACGCGCCCCCCCCCCTTTATCCTGCCTGTGTCTCCTAACGAAATTGATGAAAGAACTGCAATTGTTAAACAGAACAAGATAGAAAATATCATTATGCCTAATAAATGCTCTGCTGGAGCATGTATACAAGATTGTGTAAATTAATCACTCTCCCCCACTAGAAGACTTAATTCTGCATACATCTATTTTAGGAAAAGCCACTGTAAATAGCCAGCTTCTATTCTCAAGCCCAAGATTGTTTCCAGGCAGCCACAGAAAAGGCTGGTGGGACAGAAAAGGTGTCCAGATGCCCACCTCCCATCATTTCCATGTTCGGGTGGCAGTTAACAGATATTCTTGGCTAACAGCAGCGCAGCGCCTGCTCAGTCACTTCCCCCTCGGGCTTTGTTTTCACAAGGAAAGATGAGAGGACCCAGGTGGCTCCTGCACCCGAAGAAGGGCACCCGGCCGAGGGCTCCTGATTTTAGCTGCAAAGAATCACCACCAGGGAAGTGCCGAGTCTCCGGGAAGGCGGCCAGGGAAGAACTGGTGCCTGGAATTCTGGAGAGCCAAGGCTGCCAGTAAGGGGGGGGGGGCTCGGGTTGGCAAGCCGGGGCCAGACAGAGCAAAGCTTTGGCTCCCCCAGCGACCCCGGCCTTGGCTCCTGGGACCACCGCCCGCCCGGTCAGAGCCGGCTGGTGCCTCCCGGTCTTGGCTCCGGACTCCACAGAGTCACCGCAGGACCCATTTCCCAGCCTCACGAACACAAACCTGAGGCAGGCAAGCTGGGTGGCCGGCCTCTTGTTTGGCCAGTAGCCACAGTCCAGCCGCTAGCCTGCTCTCCCAGCACTCTGCCCTCCCCTCTGACCTGGCGATGAGGACGCTCTCCCTTCCCTGCCTGGTGTCCACCAAGCTTGCCAGGGCTTCCTCGCTTCAAAATGCCGACCGAGCCCCACAGCCCGAAGGAAGCAGCCCTCTCTTGCACCAAGAGGAAATCCTGTACAGCGGGGGGGGGGGACGGACCTCCATCTCCATGGGCGGAGGAAGGGAAGGGAGGGAAAGCGCCAGAGAGGAGGGCCTGCAGACGCAGGAGAGCCCCAGGGCATCCACCACCACTGCTGGCATCGCTCCCCCCCCCGAAGAAAAAAGCAATCTGACCAGCAAAGAGCCACAGGGCCTTCCCCTCTGCAAAACACCCCCCCACCGCAGAATGCGTGAGTGCCCAGAGGGGAGGCTACCCTTAGCAGCAGGGGGGGGGGCTTGCCTGTTTCGCCTCCCTGCCAGACTCTGCGCTGCGCCAGGCTGAGGAAGTGGCCTCACAGACGGCTTATCAGCCTTGGCAGCTAAAACAAACAGCCATGTCTGTCCCTGGCCAAATGCCATTTGATCGCCTCACAGGGTGTTTCCTTTGACACATCATCACTGGAGCAGAACAGATCCCGGGCTGAAAGAGCAACCCTAAGGAACCCCCTGCCTGCCCCCTAGGACTTGCCCCCTGACCCGGCCGGAGGCTCCTGCCAAAAGCCAGCCAGCCAGCCAGGGCACTCGGGCCAGCCAGTCCGAGACCCCTCAGAATGGAGAGCCCCGCTCACCCGGGGGGCGGGGGGCCCCCCTGAAAGTTGCCACACGGCAAAATGCCCACCGCTTGGCTGGGCACCAGTCCCGGGTCCACAGCTCTGGCAGACGGAGAGCAGGGGTCCAGCGCCGCTCAAGGGAGACGGTCAAAGAAGCCCCCAGAGAATGAAGCCAGGTCAGGCCCACGGCTGGCATCACCCGGGACCCAAA